CCTTAAGCTTGATTCTTACATCTTATAGCTCAATTTACTGGAATTCATGTATGAATTAACTCAACTTCAAGGCTAAAGGCTTGGTTTCATACCTTAGATGTTCAATTGGGCTTTAGGTGCTAGAATCTTAAACTAGATGAACAAATCTTCAAGTTTTCTTCTTTTCTCTTAGCAATCCCCTCCTTGTGAATTCAATTCTTGAACTTAGGACCCAAATCCCTCAATTCTCTCTCATTCTCACGTTGAGCATCAAGTTGAGGAAGAATGAAATGAAAAGGTAAACTTAGTGAGGTCAAAATGGCCCTATAGATAGTAATTAATCAAAATTAATCAAATGACATTAATTTAATTGTTCCGAACCGAATTTTAATTAAACCTACCATAAAATTCTATAAATCCTAATCAGCATATAAATCAAGTCAATTTCTGAATCGGATGCCGATAGGGTCTTCAATTCGCAAACCGAAAGAAAACACAAACAGATTTTCCTACGTTGAACAAATATAGACATAATTCATGCAACACACACATGCAATTCAATTTGGAATTTCACCCTAATTACCAATTAAGCATAATTAACCACGGATTAACATTAATCAGGGATCGGGGTTGTTACACATATGAAACAAAACAAAACAAAACAAAAAACAGAACCAAAAAAAAAAAGAAAAAAGTAGCTCATCATACTGTAAGGTTTTATCATGAGTTGAATGTTTTAATTTAAAAATTGTTGATCAGTCACGCACGCAAATACTTTGATTAAAGCAAGAAAGTGATATCCTCAACTTTGATTATATTCACAAATTAAACTTGCAACTCAGTTATTGTTCAATCACTCGTCTTGGACAATGATGGATAAACAAAAATGATGACAAGTTATCTAACAAAAATATACATAACAAAGAAAAACGCAAGAACGATGATTCTTAAATTTTCTAAACTCATTTAGTTTGGTTTCTAATGGGCAATAAATTATAAATACCACCTCATTACATAGGTTATTTACTCAATGCTCTATCTAATCATCCCTTCAAGAAGACGGCAAACAGCCATATTTGCTCTTGTTTCCATTGGCCTTCTGGCCAAAGCAAAGGAGAAGAATAGTGTTATCTATCCAACAAACTTGTTTTTCCATGTTCATACAATTTTATATAATGCTCCAGCTAATAGATTGTAGGTTAAATTCGTAAAGTTTTATTTACTTCTTTTCACTACTCTATAAGTTCACCAACTACGCAAACTCACGCGTAATTTACAAGGTGAGACATGATTTTTAGGGAAGCAGAGAAGAGAAGAGAAGAGAGAGAGAAAGAGAGAGAGAGAAATCTAAGAAATATATAACTGAAACTAAAGGAAGACAAAGATGAGGCAATTGAAACCATATAAATCCCCAAATATATCTTATATTTACCATAGGAAATGTCTTAACCATAAACAATAATAAATAAAGTCAATCCCCAAATATATCTTATATTTACCATAGGTCTTAATTGCACTGCCAAACATAATCAGACTCAAATCAAAATTAAGTGAATTCCTATAACAAAGCTAATTAATTATAGAACTTTACACATTTCAATCAAGCATCTTCTGAAAGGTAAATGAGATCCAACTCACATTATGTAAGACTTGGAACACATCTTATTGCTATTTTTTGTAATTATTCATGAAATAAACAATAGAAACCAATACGGTAGATACAAACCAAACTATATAAAAAAAATGTAGTGAAACTGTCCGATTTCCTAAGCTGATAAATAAAATAAAATAAAAGATTTCCTAGATTTCCTAAGATAGAAAAATTTTCAAACCCTTAGAAACACAAACACATATGAAGCCCATTATTGGCCAAAAATTGTCTGATTTCTTGATTAATCTCCAAAAACTGTTTGACCCAAAAATGTCTGATTTCTTGATTAATCCATTTGATGATATAAGAGAAAACAACAAAGAAAATCAATCAATTTATAAATGATTAAACAACAAAAAAAAATTCATAAATGATTTAAAAAACATGAAGAGAGTGAGAGTGGGGAGTTTCAGGTGGGGTTGGGAAGGGGTTTCAGGTGGGGTTAGGAAGATTGAGGGACTGAGACCTTGAGGGGAAGAGAGAGGTGTTGCCTAAAGGTGAACAATCTTGCTGCTACCCATGACAACCACCGAAGCAACAAAGAGCTGGTGAAATAACGAAGAACCACCGAAGCAGTGATGATGAATGGGTTTGAATACAACCACTGTAGCAATGAAATAGAGAGAAACAATGATGATGAAATGGGTTTGAAATTTTGGGCGATGAAGGGAGAGTAACACTGAAATGGGTTTGAAATGTTCTCAACTTTTAAGCTTATATCCAATGGTAAAAATAAAAAGACACAAAATCTCAAATTAATCTCAGCCTTTAAATCTATTGCCACCTAAGACACATGACTCATCAAGATTCAAAAGTAGAGATGTTTTGTTATATAGATATATGTGGAATTAGGTTTGCAAATTAATGGAATTGGGTTATGGCCTGGATATGATGCAATCTGGTTTGGGATGTCTTTCGTCTTTTATATTTGAAAACTTAGAACAAATATTCCTAGCATCTCCTTCTATATGGAACAAAATGTTCTATTTATATTTATATATATATAGATATAGATTATGCTTCTCCTACGTTTGTGAGCTTTTGTTGGTTGGATCACTTTGTTGTCATCGATAATACCAGTGGATTTTGCTGACCGTGGCCTGTTTTTTTGCGGCATCGTTGCTTCCAACTTGGGTTTTTTGTTTTTGCTTTTAGTTTGCCATTGATTCCAATGTCCACCACTGATTCTGGTTGTGTTTTTCTTTTTGTGGTCAGCCCCAGGGCCGGCCCTAGGGTGAGGCGACTGAGGCAGTCGCCTCGAGCCCTTAATTTTAAACAAAATTTAGGACCCCCAATTAGGAGAGTGTATCATGTCATGTTATTTCATAATTATTTTAATATTAGCTCAATTTAATTTATTTTTATGTTGTCGTGTGGTGTTATTTTGGTTCATATTCGATTAATATTTAATGTGAAAACTTTCATTTTAAGTTAAAAATAACTTAGCAAGTGTATTGAGAGATTAAAATTTTTCTCATAAGTTGAATTTTATAAAATTTATTTCAACTAAATGAAATTATTCATACAATGCTTGATTTTAATTCAATTGCATTTTTCTAATTAAAAAAATTGTACCTTAGTACTATATATTTTTTATTAGATTGACTCTAAAATAGGTAACAAAAAAATATATATCTTAAATGAAAAAAAGATATTAGCCTTAATTATTATTTTACATACTTTTTTATTCAGTTAGATAGAGTAAAACAAAAGATTAAAAAAATGTCATGACATCCCTTAGTGAACATTCAAATATATAACTAATAATTCATGTTATTGAGTTGTGTCATACTTGGATTCATGTTGAAAATAGTCAACCTTAACTTGCTAATTCTATATATTGCTTGAGTTGTGTCGAAAATTCTCATCCTTACCCCCAATTAATTTTTGTTCTTATAGCATTGGTAAGCTAAAAAATAAAGATTCGATTCAACTAATTGAAGTTCAACTATTATATATATATATATATATAAATATATTTGTTATCCAAATTTTGTTAAATTTGTTGGGGCAATCCCACATCGCCTGGGAGGGACACTTGCAACCAACTTATAAGCATATTGGCCCCCTCCACCTTGTAAGAGGCCTTTTAAAGCCGTGAGGCCGACGGGTGTCATTTCGCCACCTCGCCAGAGCGGACAATATCTTACTGGGGCACGAGAAGCCAGTCACGTCAATTTGGTGGCCCATGCAGGTCGTTCGGCAAACTCTTCCACAGTTCGCGGTCCAGTCCGCTAGGGGGTTATGTTGGGGCAATCCCACATCGCTTGGAAGGGACACTTGCAACCAACTTATAAGCGTACTGGCCCCCTCCACCTTGTAAGAGGCCTTTTAAAGCCGTGAGGCCGACGGGCGTCGTTTCACTACCTCGCCAGAGCAGACAATATCTTACTGGGGCGCAAGAAGCCAATCACGTCAAAATTGTAATGCAATAGAAATAAATTTTTATCTTTTTTGTTTTATCCAAATAATTTTTTTTTTTTTTGGATAATTATATATGAAGGCCCAATTTAAAAAATTAACCTTAGGCCCCTAATAAGTCAGGGCCAGCCCTAGTCAGCCCCTTTTTCAGCGGTGTACCTTATCTTTCTAGCCCGATGCTGGTAAGCTTTCGATTTGCCCTTGATAATGGTTTGTTGGTGTTGGTGGTGGTGGTTGTTGATTTCTGGTGGCGTTTCTTTTATTTCGGCAGATCTGTGAACCTGTAATCTACCACTTTTTCAGAAGAAGAATATATATATATCTTCTACCTTTTGGGTTTGTGAAAAGGAAAGAAGAAGAAGAAGAAGAAGATGGGAGTATAACTGTCAATTGACATATTCAATTAACAGAAGTTAGTGTGTACTTCAATTCAATAATCACATAGAGGTTATGTGGTGATTTCCAAATGTCAAGGAAGTAATCCGCACCTGGCTCAAACCACAGGGGATAAAGTAAAGTTTGTCCAAGAAAAAATGGTCTAAAGATGGGTGAGATTTGTCTGATCTGGAGTTGCCGATTAGTGCCCAAAGTCATCCACCATAGCCGGAGACAGCCATGAGATTTAGTCACAAATTTATCAACAACAGGTGGCGTGTTTGCCCTAGAAATGAATCATCGTGAGGTTGAAGCAACCATTTAGTACAAGGACTAATAGGACAATGGATGACACAATTTCCTTTGGTCACAAGTGAAGCATCAATCTATTCTCATTGTCCTTCAAAATTTGACTTGTTTGCTGTAAATTCCAAAATAGATGCCAACATGTGTAGTAATCTGTATGGTGCATGCAGTTAATGATGGATTTAGAGGGGAAGCGGGTGATCGTCCCCCCTAAACTAAAACTAATCAAGTCTTATTTGTCTACTTCAAACAAACAAAAAAAAATCAATGATTGGTGAATTTTAACAATGGTATTATTCAATTTCATAAAGATCATCTAAAAACTAAAATCATCATCATCAATGTTATCATCAGCGGTATCATTGTCGCCTCTGTTCAAAATCTATAGTCTATATTACATACAAAAAACAAAAAAGAAGGGGACAACGAAAGACAAATATTCAAGACCGTTGTTAGTTTATAAATCTACTATGGCATACTAATCCTAACAAAAACATTCCCGATCACTTTTTCCAGGTGACAAAGTGATCAGAAACAGCTTGCTTGTATTAGTCATTCCTGCAAAACATCTCCACAATTTTGCCTTAAAGCTTGTCAAGAAACATCATACCAGCTGGGGTTAAAACCATCAAAACCAATTCACTGGTTCATTTGGGCTGGCCCAGGAGGCAAGCACCAAAGGGTACCAGTTAGCTCACACCCGGCTGCATTACAGGAAAGAAGGACCAGTTATTAGAAGGCCCACCCTCCTCAAGTACCTTCTCGTTGGCCCACCAGTCGGGGCCAATAGGCTTATCGGAGTGTCCTCCATCTGTGTTGTCAAAATTGAATTCCTTAACAGAACCAAGAGTAATGGACCGATGTTTCTGAGGCTGCTGCCCATCCTCTCCATCTGCAGAAGCTTTCTCTGACGGGTCATCAGATATTGCATCAACGTGGCCCTCCTGACTATTGGCCACCTCAGTTGAATTTTCATTCTTTTCAGCAGCAATTTCTGCATTCTCTAGAGATGGAGATACAAGCTTGGTCAAGGATGGCTCCTTTGATATGCATCTGCCAACACCTTCAGCTGTGATCTCAAAAGATACTCTATGATCAACTACAGCTTCACCATTTCGGCATCCATTGAATGAATTTGTGAGTGGTGCAATGTCAGAATTTTGACGATTCAGAAGAAACCTGTCACGAAATCTAGGTGCCACAGCATCAGGGGTCAACGAACCAGATCTTTGCCGTGATCCCCATTCATGAGCAGACAGCTTGTCAAGGTTCAAAAGATTGGGAGGATTCCCAATTCTGAACTGATGACCACCAGGAGTAAACTCGCAATCTGGAAAAGGAGATGAGGTGCCTGAACTGGAGATACCTGAATTGGGGGAGATCAAGTGGCCGACAGGGCTTCCGGGATAAAGTTGATAAGAATGAAATTCATATTGGGACAGAGGGAATCTCTGACCAGCTTCACCGTTTTGGTAATTGGGGTCAAGAAGCCGAGCAAATGGCACTTCAGGTGAGGAAGGTGTAGTCAATTGGACAGACTCAGGAGGAGGAGTAAAAGGAGCAGTGGATGGTTCAGTGGGAAAGGTGGAGAAGACTGGGGGTGAGACTAACTGAGTCTCGTGGGCATAAGGTCCAATAGCGAAGATAAAGGAAGGCCCAGGAGAGTACATGCTGGCAGATATAGAGGTGCCAGCTGGTGACTGTGTACAAGAAGGCGGCTCTGACTGAAGGAAAGATGCAGGGGAGGAGGGAGGTGCAACAAAAGGAGGTATTGTAGGTGCTTGGGTTGAATTTTCAGTTGTGGGAACGTCTGTTCCAGGAGCAGTTGTTTCAGGAACAAGAACAGCATGTCCAATCCGCTTGCTCTGTCTGTGAGATCCAAAACACCAGTATATGTTCCAGAAGCTTCCCCATCTTCTTTTCTGCATTGAAACAAAGATTCTCAGTCATGCCACTTTTATAATAGGAAGCACTGTTAGATATCTTCTGTATATAGTCAGAAATTAAAGACAGCTATTGCATTTCAAAAGTAATCCTAGTCGTCAGAGTGTATATGAAAGTATTTTTTTTATTTAATTTTTTTTTTTTTTTGGCAAGCTTAATTGATTACAAAAAACCAATTGGATTTTTTTTGAAGTTATATTCTTCTCTATATTTTAGAGTACTTAACATAGCAAAGTATTTGGAAGTTCTCTATATTTTAGAGTACTTCATCAACAGACTTGACTGATTAACCAACCATTAGTTCACCAAATGGCACGCTTATAGTTATACCCTCACCAATTTTGAGAATTTACACAGATCATGATTTAGCTCCATCTTAGGACTAAGTTACATATATATGAAATTTCTATAAGACTAGATCAACATCTCTGAAACAATAGCAAACTGATGAGATGAGATGAGAGTGACAAATAGAATTTGGCCTGATTATTCAATCAAAATTGAGCTAGTGTAGTTCCCAACATCAAACCAAAATAAGACATGACGTGCATGGTCAAACATTACTGGAACAACACTAGTGTCAACCTGAAGTCATCAAGGAAAAAGAAAAGAAAAAAAGGACATATTTCCATAACTTTAAATAATCCCCCCTTACTTGAAAAATACATCTATGATTTATTGATCATTGTACATATCAACAAACATTTCAAAAACATTAAAATTGCCCCATCTACATCCAGTTCAGATGCAATTAAGGTTTCAGACAAATGGTATCACATTACTTTTGATCAACATACCAAAAACCCTAAACAGACTGGCTTCACATTCTATAAGTCACTTTGTGAAATTTATGCATCTTGCTCCCTACCCATCCATGTGGAATTTGTACATGAGGAGGAACCCACTGTCCCAAAAATCCTCCCACCCACAAGGAAAAGGAAAAAATTTAAATTTAAAGAAAAAAAAGAACCACGGCAAGAAACTGATAACAAAATACTGACTTAAGCAAGGAAATAATACCATTATTAAGAAACCTGAAGAACATCTGCAACATATATGAAACTCTCAACTACGGGGACAATTAGTTCAGATTCTTTCATAAGCAAATGCAATGAAATATCATATGCACATAGTTTGTACATTCTGCAGTGTCATGAACAATTCTATTAATTGGCACACACTGCTGACAAAATAGCATATCCACAATATAGGGATGCAATTGTCATTGTAACTCCTAATGGTAAGTTGAATGAAATGTTCATTATTGAAATAATACAAGTGGAGATTAGATTCATATCTAAAAGAAGTTAGAAAACTTGGGAAATTTGGGGGCAGCTTCTGCAGAGAAAGCATGTTAATATCAGAGACAAGCTAGTTTGTGTATATACAAAGAAATGCAAGAGCCATAAAAAGTTACTGAAAATGGAAGAAATATAGTGCACTGCCATAAATAACAACATGCACCAGCCGGCCTATAACCAATATCACATTCTTTTGATTTAGGAAAATATGTGAGAACCAATGAACATCACATTGCAAGAAAGCAGCCCACTTTTAGATTAAAGGTGGACAAAAAAATGCCTGCAAAAGAAGGATGTTGACTCAGCATACACCATTGTAGTACATAGCATAGCACTTTATCCAGAATGCCTACAGGTTTATGTTCACCATGGGTTCCACAATATATTCCAGTCTATCTGTTGTTGCAGGCTACATATAAATCTACGTACACATATATTTATCAATTTTTTAAGTTCTTCAAAAAAGCAATTTCCTTCGAAATGAAATATTCACGATGTACCTGTGCAAGGACGGATCCAAGATTGAGACTTTGGGGGGCTACTCTATAGTTTGAAAAATTGAGGGGCTACTCTATGTAATTTTGAAATTATCTAAAAAAATTTGGGGATGCAAACTCCTATAATTTTAAATTATTTTAAAATTTCTAGAATAATATATGATATTTTTCAAATTTTTGTGGGTGCGGCCGCCCCCCAGCCCCCCCAAGTCCATCATTGTACCTGTGAATCTGTTACACCTTATTATAACTTCAAACCGTAACTCCATAAAATTTTTCAGATTTTATTCAAATTGAAATAATCAAGATTCAAAACTAAGTCAGCCTTGATCATTAAAGGAAATGACTGAAATTTTCCACACTTCCCCAGAAAAATGATAACATGGATAAGGATGAGCTCACTTGAGAATCTCAAGTGAGCACGCCTAATTAGCTCACATCACATGTAATCCACCAAGCTGCACCAACTCAGCATATTCCAGATCTAGAGCCTTAGAACTAATGTCAGAAAGTTCTATATTAGTTTCTGTACTCTTCCTCTAGACTCTATGATCTCTATATAAGCACCATTAATTCAACTAGTTGCAATGAAGTGAATAATGAGAAAAAGTAAATTTCCTCTCTACACTTTCCTGTGTTATCACATTTCTGTTCACCAAAAACAAAAACAAAAACAAAACAAAACAAAACAAAAAAAAAGAAGAAGAAGAAGAAAAGAGGAAAAAACAACCAACCAAATAACTATAATCTATTAGTATACAAATTGATTAAAGAAAATAGCTAAATTCCTAATACCAATTTTAAAAAACAAAAAGAAAGAGTTAGGTTTGCCCAAATCACATCCTATAAATGATATGAAAAAAACATAGAAGGCCAAAAGTTAAACAACATAAATTGGCCTCGTTTGGGAACTGGCTATTTTAGTAGGCTATTTTAGTTTTTGGCTATTTTAGTAGGCTAAAATTTTTGTGTTTGGGTAGATGATTGGATTTTTTTGTGGTTGGATGTGATGTTTGTGAGAGAAAAAGTGAAATGATTATGGGTTTGATGTGATATTTTGTCTTATTAGCTATTTTAGCCTATTTTATCTTTTTGTGAATTTTAGCCTAAATTGGGCTATTTTTTTCCTTCCCAAACACCCCCATTGTATGACAAAATTGAATTCAACAGTGACGATTAATTCATAAATTGATCTTCATTTCAATTCTCCTCACAATACTACTCGATTTCTTGAAATATGCAATAAATGCTCCAAGTGCCTTTTCCTAATCCAAAACATGTGACGGGGCCAAGCGATAGAAAAATTAACACAATAGCAAGTTAGCTCCAAAGTCTAGGCAATTCTTGACAAAGAAACCGTTATGTTCATCTTTGTCACTCTGACTGAAATCCATTCCTCTCCCTACTCATTCAGAACATATTAAATAGGGAAATTACCACCCAGTTGTATTTCCACAACATTATTACAAATTGATGGAAAAGTTTAAGAATTTAATTATTAATATTTGTAAGTTTCCCCATGATTTGTAATTATTTTTTAAAATATACACTGAATTGAAATTTCCCCTATTAAATAGGCAAAGACAGCAGAATTTCAAACTTAGCAACAGAATAAATGTTCAAACACTAACAAACTACCCAAAGAGACAACACCAAAAGGATAAGCTAGAAACAATCTGGCATTGGAGCTTGTCAGACACTTATGTCATGAGCAGCAATGTTTGTCATGGGAATATATTACAAATTTGTACCACAAAAATTAACAATTTTTTCATATAGAAATTTGGAATTTCAGCAAATTGTTACATCATCATGAAAAACTACAACAAAAAATCACTAAAAAGCTTCAATCTTCCGTGTAATAACACAATGCAAAGAAACCACATGCAAAGAACTGCAACTTCAGATCCAAAACAAGCTAAATCCATATATACTTCCTAGAATCACAAGTCAACTTTCGAAGTCAAAAAAAACAACAAAACCAACAACAACAACAACAACAACAAAAACAAAAACAAAAAACAAAATCGCATCGAAAAAAACAATTAAAACTCATTAAAATGATATAATTTCCAAAAACTACATCAAACAAAGTGAAATGATCAGCGTAATATAGATAATCAACAGATCTCGAACCTAAAGGATCAGATTATACAGAGGTTAGAATTCGAAACTCGAGAGATTCATATCCAGTAGGGATAATCAAATCAAATCAAATCATCCAGCACAACAAGCAACGTAATTATAGTCAATATTCGAATCAAACTGTTTACCTGAACCGAAGCTTGAGGCACACGATTCTCAGCTGACGCGATCGCAGTCGCAGCGGCGGTTATCGTATCCAGAGCGTTGTTGTTCGCGCTTCTCATCTCTGTTTTTTTCTCTTTGCTCGATCAAAAAATTAACCTTATTTCACTCAACAATTTTCTGTTTCATCGCCAATCAAATCTGTCCGAGAAAAGACTGCAACTTCCTCGCCAAAATTCAACTTAGAAAATCAAAATTTCGAGTCGGAAAATGAGATTGAAGATCGGAGAAAACAGAGCATGAATGAAGATGAAGAAAGTGAGAAACTGAAAAAATCAACCTCCGTGTTCCTCTCTGTCTCTCTCTCTCTCTCTCTCTCTCCGAGTATGTATGCTGTAATGTAACTATCGCTTTTGAGGTCAAACACGGCAAGGACTTGGTGGTATATAATTTTCTGATCAGGAGTGCTACGGTGAAATTACTTGAATGCCCCTGTGATGAAATCAATGACTCTAGACTACAACACATTGATACAATCTCACCTGAAACACTTCACGATTGAGAATGATGATACATTCATCATCCTTTTAAAGGCTCACACCAAATGGGTATAACCTTTGGCGCTTGGGTTTTTCACTAGTTGGAGGGTGTTATTGAGATGTTGTGGGTTCATTACAGAAGTTTGTTAATTTAAACAGTTTAATATATAAAGTTTATTGATTATTTTATTTTTTTAAATAATTATGTTGATCAAATATTAATAATCGTTTTATTATATCACATTTGTATCAACAATTTATTTTTAAAATTATATTTACAATTGACAAAAATGTGATTTGATTAAATAGGTATTAATATTTTATAAATGTGATTTTTGAAGAATTCTACACATTAACGATTTAAATCATCAATTCGGCCTTTGTGGTAAGTCCACAAAGGCCTAACAGCTCTCTCTAGTCTGATTATTGGACTGGAGAGAAACCTTTCCTAAACTTTAAGGGACACTTACCACTCAGCCATATTTACTAAACTTGTATACCTACCGGTCTTGACTAATAAATTTATTATTGTAAATTTATTGATAAAAATAAGAGAGATTGATAAATTTATCAATAGAAGTAATAAATCCCAAAAATAAGACCTATTAGTAATTTGCCCTTACTTTAATTGAGGTACAATATGGAATAATATTATATTTGTTATTTTATTAATCAATATAAAATTGATATAATAGATCTTACCACTTATCTATATTTGCAATATTGTGTTGACAACTAAATTGGCATATCAAATGATAGCTTTACTCCGTATGTATGTCATGAAATTCTTAGTTCAAAATATATATATATATATATATATGAGATTCTTTGTTTTCAAATTTATCTACCACTCTTTCAAAATACTCATAATCTACAATAATTTCAAAACATAATTTAATAAATATGAACATTTAAGAAAAAAAATAGAGAGATTTTGAAAATAAAGAATCACTGGCCTATATGTATTGATGTAGGACTTCATATTAATGTTTGATAGTTATAGACCATTGTGGAAGGTAAAATTCTTCTCTACTAAATGCGAGATGATGTGTTTCTTTCTTTACTCTAAGAGAAACCAAAACGTCAGTGATCACTCCCAACCAAGATTAGTGGAGAGGACCCTCCGACGATCAAATCAAAATATTGTTTAGCCATAAGTATTTATATTTAAAGAGGATTCTTGGATTACCTCTGGTCTATCATCTTTGCTTCATCTGCTTCGCCTTTTACAATTTTCCTGACTTGAATCCCATCCGTTGGATCAATGTTCGATTCAAGGATTCTGTCCATTCCTGGCTTTGGTCAGGCAAAGGATGAAATTGCCTTTGCCTTTGATCGTTGGATCATCTTCTTATGGACAATTTAGATTATGTCAAATGCTAGTGGCCAACTTGGCAAGCATTGTGTTCATTAGATTAGGTTGATCAAATGAACTAACCATCTAGTAAGCCTAACCTATACTCATGTATTTGCTGTCTTGATGTTTCCATCATTAGATAAAGATGAATCTGATGTCCCCTCTTACATTCTGCGAATCTCCTTCTAGAAAGAGATATGTACTCATCATTGCTTCTCACGCTCCTAGCTACACGTCATTGTACTACCAGCTGTCTCTAATGGGCTCCTTAAAAAATCATCTGGGCCTTCCCTTCTTTTGAATTGCTTTGCCTAATTTCTTCGGACTTGAGCCAATATTTTATTCCGCCACAACCATAATCACATAATAAAATTCAATTAACGGTTCATGTTAACATAAATTGTCATTATGATGTGAAAATTCTCAACAAAAAGAAAATTTCAGACATTTTTTTAAATAATTGAGTAAATTACATTCACCTTTCTTGAAATTTGGAGAAAATACAATAAATACCATAATTTTGATATAATTACAATGATCTCTATCTTAGTAAGGTTAAAGAAATCAAAAATAATATAAATTGCATGAAAACGCAAGGTAAAATATATATTTCAATGTAAAAGAGATGATAATATCATTTTTTCATTTATGAAATTAATGAATTTTTTATAAAAATAGGCCAAGTTATATGAATTAAAATCTTTAAAAAAATTCACTATAATTATATTAAACTTATAAAGCTTATTATATATATATTTTTTAATTTCAAAAAAAGTATATAATTTATCTTAAAGAATTTTACATACTTTTAAATGTTGTCACATATTTAATGACTCCTCGTAACTCTCATTCATTACCTAGGGGACATATTTCAAATATAATATTTTCATTGACAATCATAAAAATGGAATTTCCAACCCCTCTCATTCCTTACAATTATCATAAACTTTGATTGCAGCTGAGAAGTAGGTTAATATTTGGACAAGATTATATTATTTTATTGAAGAGGGGGACATTGTATTTATTGTGTGGTTTTTTCATAGGGGTAGTTTTGTCATATCAATGGGACCAAAACTAATTTGTCCACGCACAAAAGTTTTAATTATTGTTTTAATAAAGAAAGCTTTTCGTATTGTCAATCGTGTGCACGTGTGGCCAGCCACTTCTCGATGGCTTTCGTGCGCACCCCTGCGTAAGGTTGGCCCCACCCTGAAAATTCTCCCCCTTTACCCGCCACTTAGAACTAACTTGCACGGTTGGTTCATCTCTCCTAATCACTCCTTACCCCTCTTTTCTTCTCTCTCAAAATAAAAATATAAATAAGATTTTTTTTTTTTTTTAACAAGTATGCTAAACACTGGTTAATAAATTCAAAATATTTTTATTTTTTATTTAAAATATGTATCATAAAAAAATGTAAAATAATTTAAAATTGTTGTCCTTAACCACTTGATAAAAATAGAAAAACTATGTTTGGCTTAGATTATTACTAATTTCAATCTTAAAAACACATTCATTTTACATTATTGATTTAAATTACAAAATATATATACATATCACCCAAACTTTACCATTAACAAAAAAATTAATATTTTTAACATTTATCAAACATGTTATGTCGGCAACTATTTTTAAAAAAATAAATAAAACAAAAAAATAGTAAGAAAACATTTGTCAAAAGCAATAGCAACTCTCAATTACCTTCACTTAAATTCTAACAAAATTATAATAATCATTTTATTTTTATTATATTTTATTTATTGTCATCATCATTAGTAGTTAACTTGTGCTATATTTGTGAAAAAATAATATTTGTTCATAAAAAAAAAAATTGATATTCAAACTCCCATATTTTGACTATTTTGCATCTCATAACTAGAAAATTATTATAAAATATAAAAAATAAAAATTTTAATGCACACAAAAAATTAATATCATATTTTTTTATTATTTTATAAAATTCATAAAATTAGATGATTTAATTATTAGCTAATAGATGTTTTAAAATTTATTTAGTCTAAAAACTAACAAATTTAGTTGTTGGCCAACATAAAACAAACAATATAGTATGCATTTCACTTCCATGTTTGGCATGACTCCTCTCTCTCTTTAAAAGAGTCTTTTTTAAACTAAAATTCACTATAATTATATTAAACTTATAAAGCTTATTACATTTTAATTTCAAAAAAAGTATATAATTTATCTTAAAGAATTTTACATACTTTTAAATGTTGTCACATATTTAATGACTCCTCATAACTCTCATTCATTACCTAGGGGATATATTTCAAATATAATATTTTCATTGACAATCATAAAAATGGAATTTCCAACCTCTCTCATTCCTTACAATTATCATAAACTTTGATTGCAGCTGAGAAGTAGGTTAATATTTGGACAAGATTATATTATTTCATTGAAGAGGGGGACATTGTATTTATTGTGTGGTTTTTTCATAGGGGTAGTTTTGTCATATCAATGGGACCAAAACTAATTTGTCCACGCACAAAAGTTTTAATTATTGTTTTAATAAAGAAAGCTTTTCGTATTGTCAATCGTGTGCACGTGTGGCCAGCCACTTCTCGATGGCTTTCGTGCGCACCCCTGCGTAAGGTTGGCCCCACCCTGAAAATTCTCCCCCTTTACCCGCCACTTAGAACTAACTTGCACGGTTGGTTCATCTCTCCTAATCACTCCTTACCCCTCTTTTCTTCTCTCTCAAAATAAAAATATAAATAAGATTTTTTTTTTTTTTAACAAGTATGCTAAACACTGGTTAATAAATTCAAAATAATTTTATTTTTTATTTAAAATATGTATCATAAAAAAATGTAAAATAATTTAAAATTGTTGTCCTTAACCACTTGATAAAAATAGAAAAACTATGTTTGGCTTAGATTATTACTAATTTCAATCTTAAAAACACATTCATTTTACATTATTGATTTAAATTACAAAATATATATACATATCACCCAAACTTTACCATTAACAAAAAAATTAATATTTTTAACATTTATCAAACATGTTATGTCGGCAACTATTTTTAAAAAAATAAATAAAACAAAAAAATAGTAAGAAAACATTTGTCAAAAGCAATAGCAACTCTCAATTACCTTCACTTAAATTCTAACAAAATTATAATAATCATTTTATTTTTATTATATTTTATTTATTGTCATCATCATTAGTAGTTAACTTGTGCTATATTTGTGAAAAAATAATATTTGTTCATAAAAAAAAAAAATTGATATTCAAACTCCCATATTTTGACTATTTTGCATCTCATAACTAGAAAATTATTATAAAATATAAAAAATAAAAATTTTAATGCACACAAAAAATTAATATCATATTTTTTTATTATTTTATAAAATTCATAAAATTAGATGATTTAATTATTAGCTAATAGATGTTTTAAAATTTATTTAGTCTAAAAACTAACAAATTTAGTTGTTGGCCAACATAAAACAAACAATATAGTATGCATTTCACTTCCATGTTTGGCATGACTCCTCTCTCTCTTTAAAAGAGTCTTTTTTAAACTAACTTTTCTATCTCTACCTCTTTTAAACTAACCTTGTTTTGGCATATCTTTCACTAGGATTCACATTCACATTGGGGCTAATGAAGATTTTACTTTATACTTCAATTCCATGTACCAAAAGGCTAAAGTCATTACTTTCTTTTTATCTGTCCCTCACTCTTAAGGATAAAAGCCTTTTAAACTAACCTTTTTTTTTTTACTTGCCACTTTTTCAATGCATAAAAGGACCAGCATTTGGGCTTAAAGAATATTTGCTTTATACCTCAATTCTATGCATGAAAAGGCTGTAATTCTTTACAACTTTAGTTTGTCCGGGTCCACCACAACTTGCCACAAGTGGATTTTTCATACATTCACCCCCCTAGGCTGATGGGGCAGCCCTAATTTGGCCATGGTCTCTTGCACAACACATCATATGTCCTTGTGGGATTGGGAGTCCTTGTGGGATTGGGGATCCTGTTGTGCTCCTTTGTGAAGTGTCGTCCCGAGTCTCTTTCGATAATTCAAATCATTAATATTGTAGATTTCATCGAATAGATCAACCATGCAAATAATCAACTTGAGTGGATATCTACAGTCCTATAATACAACTACATTTATTTTTATAAAAATTAACGATTAACATAACTTTTATAAATTTTTAAAAACAATTAGGATCAAATCATGAGATTACGTATATCCGATTAAGTTGATTTTTTACATACATAATATTCTTGACAAATCTTATAATATAACGTTTCAAATCATCAAAAGACAGTTGGGATGATCTTTCATAAAAGGGTAAAGTGGCTATTATGCCTTGAAGGCATAGCAACACTTCAAGTCCGTCCTTGTAGGGGTGGTTATTGTTTTTAGAGTGATCCTTGTGAGGGTGGTTGATTGGATAATTGATAGCAAAAGGTAATATATTACCTAAAAAAATAATAATAGGAATTAAAGAAACATAACTTAATGCACACACTTATATAGAAACATGGGATTAAGATTGAAAGAACTTCAAAACTTAGCTTAAAATTTAGAGCTAGAGTTGACTTATGCTTCATTTATTAATTATATATTTTAGTCAAAAAATTCCTATAAATTGTCACGTAACTCTCTTTACTTTTCTACACATTTTTTCTTACAAAGTCAAAAAAATATTAAAATAACATGTTTCCAAACGAGGCCTTAGTGTTCAATGAAATATTCCTTCACTAAAATCATCAAACCACAACCATAACTTTTAGTATTTTGACATAAGAATTGACATAATTCTCTATGATAACAAGAAATTATCTAGTAATCGAGCTTATCACGGAGTTATGTACTCACTTAATAATATGAAGTCACATGACTATTTTACCTCAAAATTAAGAGACAAAAGAGCGCAATATATCCGTTATATATCGAAACCACTAAATAATTTCTCTCATCTAGATAAGAAAATTAAAAAAAAAAAATCGTTGTATTTTTCATTATCATGTTTGAATGATTAAAAAACAAAGCATGCAATATAAGAATATAAGTAATTCCTTTGTATTTCAATGGACAATCTCGGTATTATGAAAATTATACAATCAATCTATTTGTCTTCCACAGAATCTCACTTCTGATCTAATTTATAAACTAAACATGAAGTGAAAAAAAAACACTCACTCTCTTCATTTGTTATTTTTTTTCACCAAATCACTCTATTCAAACTGAATGTTAGTGTTGACCTAGTGTTCAATGAAATATTCCTTCACCAAATCATCAACAGCATAAACCATAGGCTTTTGGATTCAAATGGTTAACACTTTTTTATTTATTTATTTAAAAACACTCATAATGATAAGATTTTTGGCATAATTCTCCCACAAAAAGTTTACAGTCCTATTTGCATTTATTGGTATATGTAAGGACGTGAAAATTTATTTGATAAATTCACCTTACCACGCAGTTACATGCCTACTCAATAATAAGGTCAAGTTTGAAAAGTCCCAAATAATCCATCTTTTTATCTTTTTTCATCACATCATCTCTCTATTTTTCTGCACATCTTTTCGTAAAAAGATAAAAAATACACTTATTTAGATCATTCCAAACAACCCCTAAGTTACATGATCATCTTACATAGAAAAAAAAATAGAGATAAAATGATCATTTGTCTTTCTATTATTAAAATCTATGGAGTGCCTCCAAATAAGTGAGAAATACAAAACCCTTTTAGAGAATGGCTCCCCTCTATTTTGTGGACCTCATCCCGGGTCCACAATAATAATTCGAAAGGCTTCCCTGTATTTCATGGGCCTCATCTTAGGCCCACAATGATAATCCGACCTATTTAAATAAGCTAAACCAAACATCCTCAAAGTAGTTCATCCATACATCAACCGAAACGCATAGAATAGAGGATTGTGCGGAATGAAATATTGTGTAAAATGTCAATTCTCTATTGGGTTATGTTAAAGGTTGTGTAAAATAGTTACATAATATTATATTATATGCATCCAAACATGAAAATTATATAAAAATATTTTGGAAAACCTTTTATGTCTAAACAAACAGAGCCTAAAAAGGAAAAACAAGCAACTGCGTGAAGTGCACTGAAATTTTGAATGGTCATCATCTTACAAAAGAAGCACTCCAATTTGTTGATTCCAAAACATATATTTATTAAATCTCACAAGAAATGTTATAATATGGTTTAGTATCTCTCTGTGACTACTAGTTGAAGCGAAAACACACAAGCTTAGATTCTTGCCCTCTTGTATAATAAACAGGTAAAAACCACCCTTTTCTAAGCAGCCAAGCTTTTCGAGGCAATTTCAAACACATTTTCTGAAAGTCCATTGGCCGACATGATCATCTCCAACTGCGCCTGTAAAAAAAAGTCATGAAACGTTTTTCAATTTTTTACAATGCCAAAAATTAAGAATATGTACCGTGTTAAAACCCTTTTTACCAATATAAGCCAAAAACATCTATGGCTTTACCTTAGCAAGGCTTTGTCGGGTTTCATCATATCGCTTCCATCTAGAGAAGGCTGACACCATCCGGGAGGCCACCTGTAATCCAGGAAGACATTTAGGCCTAGTTTGGGAAGACTAAATAAGTGCACTTTTTGACTTTTTATGAAATATGGGTTGGGTTTGGGTTGGGTTTGAAGTGATGTGTTAGAGAGGTGATGTGACTTAAATAAGATGATGTGACTTAAATAGGATAGTGACTTTTTAACTTTTTGTCTTTTTTCAGTCATGCCAAACTTAGCCTTAGGAATCCATAGAAGTCAGGCTTCTATTGGGATTAGGATTGAAGTAACTATAAAAGAGAGGCACCCCCATGGATCTAAGGTATGCTTTTGATACTCAAGCTTGTGAGTTTAGCACTTGATTTATCTTTGAGAGATATACTGACTTGATCGTCAGAGTGCCCCCGGAAACATCTGTGTTGAAACCTGCATCCACCGGATATGATAACAAGCATAAGTGTGACGTGTCTAACACACCTACCTAATTTAAACTCTTGGATCTTGTAATTTTTTACGATGTTTGAAGAAAAAGAAACTCGCATTTGCTAGTAAATAAACAAATTTAGCCTCTCACATGAATGAAAGACATAAATTTTCCATATTTTTTAAAATTCTATTTAATTTTAAATACATTTCTACATAATTTACAACATTTATCCAATGATATTATACAAAATGAAGTATATATGTGGTCATGATGTGTCCCCGTACCAATATCCAACTTTTGAATACATATCCCAATATTTTAGAATTTAGGTTTTTCAAGGTCCGATGCCCGGACATGCACCCAGACCCGATAGTCATATCCGAGTCCATGTAACATAACTTAAAACAACTGGTGTGAGCAAAAATGCGTGTGTTTGTGTCTGTCTACATGTGTGTGTAGAGGTCACCTACCTTGTTTGGATTACGCAGGTCAAATGCGGGATGGTTTAGGAGGTTCCTGACATTCTCAACATTCCCAGGAATGTCTGACATGGCTTGAAGAGCAAACCATTTATTCACAACCTGGTGAAAAGGAAAACAATATTATGTCAAAAGAATTGCAAAATCTTTCCTTGTTGCCACCCATTCTATCTCTGCATACGAGTATCCCAAAGAAACCACAAAAATTGGGAAAACACTTTTTACCATAATGCAAACCTCAGTAAGGACAGTTATTAAGTCATATTAAAAAGTTGCATACGTATTCAATGGGGGTGTTTGGCAAGAAAAAAAATAGCCTAGTTTAGGCTAAAATTCACAAAAAGACAAAATAGGCTAAAATAGCTAATAAGACAAAATATTACATCAAACCCACAAATCATTTCACTTTTTCTCTCACAAACATTACATCCAACCACAAAAAAATCCAATCATCTTCCCAAACACAAAAATTTTAGCCTGCTAAAATAGCCAAAAACTAAAATAGCCTACTAAAATAGCAACTTCCCAAACGAAGCCAATATATGCGCTCAGAGAGATTTAATAGTTTAAATGGTTAATACAGTTTAAATGGTTAATACATGTTAAAGACAGTTGTTGGTTAACAAAAGTTGCTAAAAGCAATATTAGACTGTTGATAAGCTCGAAATGTTAATTCACACTACAATACAAAAGCTAGTAGACATTATTTATCTTCTATGCCAAAATGGCTTTTAGGAGCACAACATTTAGTGCAAACTATACATTCAAATATAAAAATTAGATCAGATAAGCATTGCTTTTCAAACTTCAACTTGAGGTTAACCAATTTCAAACTATATGACCTCCAGGGGATTTGTAAGGAAAGAAGCATACAAAATAGTGTAAATTCAACTAGGTACGTATCATACCTCAAATGGTTCTTCGAATCAACCAATATTTTTTTTTTGTTGATAAATAAGCAAACTTTATTAAGAAAGCATCAAGACAATGCAAAGAATACAAGAAATCCCAAGCCGCTAGAAGCAACAAACCAAACTGCTGGAAACATCAAGGCAAAGAAACAAAACAAAACAATTATGGAAACAAGTCCTCTGCAAAATCAACAAAAGACAAAACATCCGAATCCACTGCCAATGAAATCCAACTTTGTAACACTATGAACAGACGCCTCTCCAACCAGGCCACCGGTCGCATCTCCTCCAAAAAAACCCTCCTATTACGCTCCAACCAAACTAGCCACATAAGACAGTGAACAGTCATAATCCATGTCTTAAGCCTGCTCTTCCCAACCCTCCCCCCACACCAGCATTGCAACACCGCCCTGACTGTTCCTGGTTGAACCCAAGCCAAACCGAAAATAGCAACTATAAACATCCAAAGGCATGAAGCAAACGGACAACAAATTAGCAAATGGTCCATCGTCTTCGCAGCTCCACAACACATACAACACCAATTCACCAAAATATGCCCACGACGAATCAAGTTATCAATCGTCAAAATACGGCCTAACACTGTTGTCCACACAAAGAAAGCGACTTTGGACGGACAACCCACCACCCAAACAATTCGTCCATGGAAATGGCACCCCAGCCCCACCCGTAAGCGCATGATAAAAAGAAGATACAGAAAATACCCCTTTGGACTACGAGCACTCCCACCTAAGAGTATCCTCGCCCCACCCTTCCAAACCTAAGCCCATACAAAAAGCCCAGCAAATCCAACAGTTGAACCACCTCCCAATCTTGCACTTCCCGACGTAACCCAACTTGCCACACTACCATATGGCCTTGCACCTGAGCATATGAAGCCATTGTCGCCTCCCGATCTATCACAACACGAAAAATCAACGGGAACATCACCTCCAATGGAAGCTCACCACACCATCTGTCCCTCCAAAACCTAACCCAGGCCTGCACCCGCACCCGCACCCACACCCGAAAACTTACTCTCGACCAAAACTCCCCCCGTCCCAAGCAAATACCTTTCCACAAACCATGACCATACGACTGGCTAACCTCCTCTGTACTCCAATCCCCCCAACCCAACCCAACCCAACCCATATTTAGCCCCTACCACTTTCCTCCACAACCTCTCCCTCTCTACCCCAAACCACCATAACCACTTCCCCAAAAGAGCCAAATTAAAAGAAACCATCGCCTTAGGCAAGCAAATCTGCTCCCAGGCTACAAGATGATAATGGAAAGACGCAGACCCTCCACCTTATAAGAAATCCCTCTATAACTGCTCTAGCCTCTTTGCAACCAACACAGGAATGATGTGAACTAACATGAAATAAGTCAGGATACTGGAGAGGATACTCTTTATCAGAGTGAGTCGCCCCCCTTTTGACAAATATTGCCGCTTCCAACCTGCTAGCCGACGTTGCACCCTATCCACCACCCCATCCCACACACATTTGGCCTTAAAAGAAGCACCCAAAGGTAACCCCAAATACGTTGTGAGCAGAGCCACCATCTTGCACCCCAAAATAGCAGCCAATGTAGAAAGATGACCCACTTCACCAACCAGAATCATCTCAGACTTTCCCAGATTCACCCGGAGCCCCGAAACCGCCTCAAAACAAAGAAGAACACACCTCAAATAACCAACCTGACCACCCTCCGTTCCGCAAAAAAATAAGAGCATCACCCGCATAAAACAAATGAGCCACCACTAAATTGGTCTGCAGATCCATGCCCACCTCGAAACCGGTCAACAGACCCCTCTAAACGGCATTAGATAACAATCTCCCTAAGGCCTCCATAATCAAAATAAACAACAATGAAGACAAAGGATCCCCCTGCCGCAAACCCCTATGAATCTAGAAAAATCCTGCTGGCGTCCCGTTAACTAGAATAGACATCCTAACTGTCGAAATACAAAACTGAATCCACTGCCTCCACAACATCCCAAACCCCATCCGCTCCAACATATACAACAAAAATCGTCAATTCACATTATCATACGCCTTTTCAATGTCTAACTTGCAAATAATGCCAGGTTGCACTTGCCGAATCTGCAAGTCAACACACTCATTAGTTACCAACACAGCATCCAAAATCTGACGCCCACCCACAACGGCATTCTGGGATTCTGACACCAACCCCTCCAAGACACCTCACAATATGTTAGCCAGAACTTTCACCAGAAGCTTGTACACACTCCTCAACAGGCTAATAGGATGAAAATCCCAAATATCCTCTGCCCCGCCTTTCTTCGGAATCAAAGCTATAAAAGTGGCATTAAGACTCCGTTCGAATTGCCCTCTCTGATAAAACTAAGCAAACAAAGCTAATACATCTGCCTTCACCACATCCCAACACTGCTGGAAGAAAAGCATAGTAAAACCATCCGGTCCTGACGCCTTGTCCCCAGGCATTTTTTGCAAAGCCCTTGAAACCTCCTCCTCTAAAAATGGCCTCTCCAACATGTGCCCATCCGCCTCCGAAATAGCAGCAAACTGAACACCATCCAACCCAGCCCTCCAACAGTCATCTTTCCCTCGAAACAGGTGCTGATAGAAGCTTACAATGCCTTCCCTTACCTCCTTTTCTGAGGATAACAACACACCGTTAACCCGAATCTTCCCAATCTGATTCACCCGACGATGAGCATTCGCCATACGGTGAAAAAAATTAGTATTCCGATCCCCATCTTTCAACCACAAACATCTCGACCTCTGATGATAACTAACCTCCTGTATATGAGCCACCTGGCCAAATTGTTTTCACACCCCCTCACGGGCTGCCAAGTCCTCAGCAGACAAGTTCCCTTCAACCTCCTCATCATCCCATCCCTACAATGCCGTCAAAAGATTAGACTTCTGAGTTTCCAACTGACCAAACACCTCTTTATTCCACCGACGCAAGTCTGCCTTTAGAAGCTTTAATTTTTGAGCCAGCCTATTACTTAGATCTCTCACCACATCATAACCTACCCACCACAACTGAACTATATCCACAAACCCTACTGACTGCAACAACATATTTTCAAACCGAAATGGCACTGGACCACTCCGAATCCCACCACTATCCAACAGCACCGGCCTGTGATCTGAAACAAGACGCTCCAATCTTCGCTGAATCACACGAGGAAAATGCTCCTCCCAATTGCTAGAAATTAGAAAGCAATCCAGACGTGAAAACACCCGACCTCCAGACCAAGTAAAGCTACCCCCCTACATTGGCAAATCAATCAACTCCAAGTCATCAATTAATAAGGAGAAATCCCGCATAGGACCCGCTACTGGACCCAAACCCAACTTCTCCTCCGCACAACGCACCACATTGAAATCCCCCCTTACACACCACAACACCACCCATCAAAAAGCAATACTCAGTAATTCTTCCCAAAAGAAAGCCCAATCTGACCCCCTCACCAGCCAATACATGCCTGTAAACACCCATCGGAAGTTATCCCCAATACAGCAAAAAAGACAAGACAACGAGAAACCACCCATCTCCTCCTCTTTGTCAACCACCCGCCGATCCCAGCATACTAGAATTCCCCCGGCCACCCCAACAGCTGGCAAGAATGTCCAATCCACAAACCGCCCCCCTTCCCCCAACCTCCCTAACCACCTCTCCATCAATATGCTCCATTTTAGTCTCCTGAAAACATACAACATCCACTTTCACCTTCCGCAACACTGCCCTGACCATCACCCTTTTTCCCCTATCATTTAGTCCACGCCAGTGTTTTAAAAAGCGCGCTTAGGTGCGCGCCTAAGCTCAAGGCGAGGCAAGGCGCAGCTTTGCCCCTCGGTCATGGTGAGGCGAGGCGACACAGGTGAAGCGCTGCCTAGGCGATGAGGCGAGTGCCTTACTACGAAGCGCAAGGCGAGCGCCTTGTGCGCCTCGGCTTTCTTCCACTCCCAGGTTCTGCTCTCTTCTCCTCTTCTTCTCTTCTCTTCTCTGCTTCTTCTCCTCTGCTTCGTTTCTGCTTCTTCTCCTCTGCTTCGTCTTCTCTTCCCTTCTTTCTGTCTTCTTCTTGCTCCTGCTTCACGATCGCTCTCTCTCTCTTCTGCTTCGTTTCTGTTTCACGATTGCAAGCTCTCTCTCTCTCGCCTTCTCTGTCACGATCACGATCGCGATCGCGATTTCTCTCTTCTGTTTCGTTTCTCGTTCATGATCACTCTCTCTCTCTCTCGCGATCTATCTCTCCCTTTGTCTTCTGTATATATATATATATATAATATTATATAATACCGATTATATAATATATAATATATAATCTACAATATACTTATAATATATAAAATATAATTGATTTATCTATATAATAAGAGAGAAGGCTTTTTGAAAATGTATAAAATGTGTGTGAGATATATTTTGATTCAATGGCCAATATCAATCCTGATATATATCAATGGCTCAGATCTATATAGTTCCCGCCCAAACATTTCTCTCCCTCAGCCTTTCACCTACCCACGTCTCCTCCCCATTCCCTCTTCATCTCTCTCCCTCTCTGTTCTCACCTACTCTTTGCCCCATTCCCTCTTTATCTCTCTCTCAACACATTATTTAAAATAAATAATAAATATATATATATATTAAAAAATTAATTATTATTTTTTTCTTATTAAAAAAATTAATAATATACATATTAAATATTTGTTTATATTGGAAATTGTGCTTTATTAATATTTTGCTTAACTTCTATAACTTGCGCCTCGCTTTGGTGAGGCGCGCGCCTCGGGGCTTAGGCTCTAGGTGACCTTGGCGCCTCAATGCACCTAGGGCTTTTTAAAACACTGGTCCACACACATTCCAAGATAAGATTTTTAACCGCATGGCAACAATGAATGAGTAACACGATCCTTCCTGACGACCCGACCACCTTCTTGTGCCCGCCGATCATAATTGACAGTACACTGTAAGTTTTGTAGCTCTCTAGCACCCTTGGCCTTTTGCCCAACAACCTATAACTGCTTCCCCACAGGAGCAGTCCCCCTCCACGAAGCTTCAATGGCCAAAAACAGCCTCATAGCTTCATCTTCATGGCCAACAAAGGAGACCCCAAGTAGAGAACTTACCTTCTTAATTTGCGATAACACCCAATCCGACACCTCTCCCGGACCAGGAAGTTCATCGCCAGCAAACCCAGCTGCCATGGGCTCCGTATCAATAGCAGTCGCACCAACCTCAAATTCCCCAATCTCCATCGCCAATGGGTGCAGAACCAGAGGCAAATTTTCATCCTCCTCAGCCCAACGATCTGTTGAACCAACAGAGTCCATCCTAATTTCATAATCGACCGCGCACCCCAACCACTCTCCCTCCTGATCACAAATATCAGGCCAAAAAACCATCAACTAAGAAAGAATCGGAGGAGACCTAGCCTAGTCCTTACCCGCTGTCAGACTGGCCACGGATTGACCAGCGCACTCCTTCGTCGGCAAATGGATCGTCTCCGACTACCGTTGATCCTCCACTGCTGGCAAAGACCCCCCAATGGATCGCGAACCCACACTCTGATGTATCCTCTCAAAGATCCACTGCACAGACGGATCCTTTGTATGACCCGTAGACTATATTAGTGGCCCATTAGAAAGAAAGCCCAATCCATCCCCAAACTCATGGGCCAGGTCATACTCTCCCAAATCACCCCCAGGCCCCCTTTAGTCATACCCAGAGGCCCAATTGCCTTAGTCTCGCCATCTCTGTGAATCTGAATAATTTGGCCCACCTCTTAATGGGTTATTGGGCCTGAATTATTGGGCCTCCAAACCTGCCTAAGACCTCTCCCCTTTAAGTCAGGCCTTCGTTGACCACCGACCCTTCCGTTCCCAAATCTTGGAAAGTTAGGTGGAAATCTCCTCCAACCCCCAAATCTCTGAGTCTGATCTGCTCCCCGAAATCCTCGCCATCCATGATTCACACCTACCTTATCCGACCAAATCTCACCCAAAGAATCTCCCGCCGTCGAAGCATCTACCACCACCACCACTGGTCCAGTTTCCGACCAAATTGGAAGCTTGTAATGCCATGAACCCCATCGGATTAAAATCTGCGACGGAATCCCTCCGACCAGGCCACGGACCTTCATCCGAACACATCCCAACAGGTCCAACGACTCATCCATCGTCAGAAAACCACCACATCTATCCCCAATCTGTCGATACACCCTAGTGCTACGAAGATGAATCGGAAATCCCAAAATCTGTATCCAGTTGCTGCAAACCAAAGCAAGTTTCCTACCATCAATACAAAGCGAATCCGGCAACCACCGAGAGTCAGATCTTGACCATCAATCGTCCACCGCTGACGCATCACACTATCCGCCTCAGGCCACGAACGAAAGACAAATAGGTAAAATTGACCTCCGATTCCATGGACCTCCACTTCCCCCGGCGACTTCCACCATCGATGTGCGCAAGCGACAACCACCAGAGTGTCTAACCCTTTAGCCCCCCATACCCCCACCCTCCCCACCACTGCTCGATCCAACTTCTGAAACCACTCCCCTTCAGTTCCTGCCCGAACCACAACATCCCCCTCATCCCCATCCCAAAGTACTGCCTCACTCATCAGCGGTAACCCACGTGATACAACCACCCGCTGTGGACACTTGTTTCTGCGGACCCAGCCATCCCCAAAGGCAAAACCCTCCATAACCAAAGCAAACCCCTCCCAGCCACCACCAAAATCAAATTCCAGCACAAAAATCTATTCTCATCTACCACTCGTCGTGGCCACGATTTACACTAAACAGGGGCCATCCTCCTCTCCTCGAATCCACACAGCCACGCTCCGACGCCCCCCAATCAAACGCCCCAAGTACGCTAGTCACCCTGGTTCCTGTGAGGCCCTCCACAATTTCTGACGACACCAGCGTACCTCATAACCGCAGAGAACAAGAGCTCTGGGAAGGCCCTACCCGCGCTCCACAATCACCAATCGCCGCCGCCCAATCTGATCTTCCCCTTCTTCTTCAAGATCAAAAGTACAACCTCCGAGGAAGAGAATCCTCCGACAAGGTGCATCCCTACCCCCAGTTACCATTTCATCTCAGATACACACTCGAGAGAAAATCTAATTTGGGAAGATTCACCTCAAAATACACATTATTTTGAACTACTTTTTAAAACCCTCTACCAATAGTTAGTTCCCTTAATATCTTTTGGCTTTTCAAAGAATCAACCAATATGAACAAGACTATATGAAATGAAGCATAAACACACCTTGGACACTTTCATTGCATACAAAATTCATAGATCTTCCTAGAAAGGACATATGTTCAATCATTTTTCTAGCAACCTTAATAACTTTGGGAAACACTGTTTTAGACAACCACTAATATAATGTAACCAACGGAGAAGTTCAACTAGGCACTACAGGTACTAAAATATACCCAGAATAATTCCCAACTCTAAAGCAAAAAACTTGTGCAAAATCTCATTCAAACAAATTAAGAAAGAGGCTTACCAAGAAGTCATGCTGCCACTTGCTATAGAAGTCGGCCAAAACATCATCACGTGTTTGTCCGGGGTTTTGGGCTATGGCCGCAAGAGCTGCAAATTGTTCGGTCATATTTGTGGCAGTTCTATATTCGTGCAATGCAAGCTCAGTAAGTTCTGGATCGTTAAGTGACACGAGATATCCTACGCACAAAACAAAAGATAAATGTCATTACTGAACAAAAACCCATGGCAAAACAAAAGTAATGTTTGTTATCAAATTTCTACTAGAGCCATCTTGCAAAGAATGATTCTATATAACACAGACCAAGTGCAATGTTCTTAAGAGCTCGTCTCGCCAAATTCCAATGGTTAAACTCATACTGCTCTGAACTCCTGTTGTTTTTTACCTGTGAAAGCATGCAAAGCCAAGTTAAATTCAAAACCATGATATAGTAAGAAGTTAGAGAAATATTAAACACAAGTCCATAAAAGATGTATACCGTGTTGAGAAACTCTTCTTTCAGTTCAGAAGCAAGCTGCTTTTTGATGAAAGATCGGACTGCATGAACAGCGTCAGGATCAGCAACTTCCATCATGTCCATGATCTCTCCTTCACCAGGCAGAGTAATTGCCTTCGAAATGAACTCCTGGATAATACCAAGCATTTAAGGTTGGTTGGTGCGATTGTTTTGTTTCCTTGGAAAGAAAGCAACCCAAAAAGGAAGGAAAAAAAAGAAGAAAAAAAAATTTAATACCTTGTCTAAGCTAGAGTCACAAAGTATGCTTTTGATCCCATGCACAAACTGTGGATTTAGAGCCAATGGTTTGTTTTGTTGAAAATCAGCAACCAGGCTGAGCATCAGCTTTCTTGCCAGTATCTGCCCAGCCTCCCAACTAAAGCATGAACAAACATTCATTAATTCTTTCAATTATTTGCTCAAATATATGGTAAAAAGAGCTTCTTCTTCTTTTTTTTAAGTAAGATAAAAGAGATGATGTTACAAGACAGACTTACCGGTTGAACTCATCTGAATCATGAGCAAGAAGGAATGACAGATCACTGTCAGCAAGATCAGAGTCAAGTCGGATAGGAGCACTGTATCCCCGTAATATAGATGGAATTGGCCGCTCAGATATATCAGAGAATACAAATTCTTCTTCTTTCTGCTTATCATCAATATGGCAATCAATAATTATGCAAGTAGAAGTAGAGAGACATATACTCTTCATTATTTATTACTAAGGAAGGATGCATCTAGGTCACTTAATTCCAGTAGCGTCTTTCATTAACCCGTGGTCCTAATTCTTAGACTCCAAAGAAATACCATGCTACAAATATGACACAATGTGATTCTACAGAACATGTAGATTAAGTCTCCCTAAAATGACCTTCTCTGCCACTGCCACCATCCAGAAATAGACCTATTTAAGAATGATGAGACACATTGGAGAGCCTTGAATAGATAAGACTCTGTCTAGTTGCACATAAAAAGCCTACATGCCCTTTATTGAGTACTCGGCTTGTATGTGGGGAAGCTTGAATGGGTTACTTGCTGGCCCTTTATACGTCATTTCATGTAAAGCTTGAGTTCACTCAGCAACCAGAACACGAACTGACTAGCCTAAGTTTCCCAGTTTTAGTTTGAGTTTGTTTTACTCAAAAAACAAGTTCTTTGTGGGATATCATATGCTGAACCAACTTATATTAGTTCCACATCATTACCCACACCTAGCCAAGATTCCACATCACAAATGTCAATGGTTAAAAGTGGGGACAATGGATCCCATAGGGGTTCTTCTGAACTAACCTTTGTAATTCTAAGAACTGTACTGTAGATGGGCTGATCATTACATGCAACAGACTCCAACTTTCCACCATGATAGACAGAGGAAAGAGGCATGTCCTTCCCACGTGAGTCCAACAGACCTACTACCACAGGAATGAACATAGGTTCTTTCATTGGCTGCCCTGGGGTCGGTGGCACTTCTTGACTGTGAAAATGCAATCAAAAAAACACTTCATTTATGATATCATGAGCCAATATGCAGGGAACCATAACTGTCAATCAAATTCTCAGAGTTTATACCTAAACTTTAAAGAATAAGTATGAGCCTCCTTATTGTAGGATGAAGTAACCTTTACACGAGGTGTTCCAGCTTGTGAATACCTAAAATTTTTCATTCAATCAAAAGATACAAGCATCAGATCAAACTGATGAAACTTAAAACAAGAGAAAGCTAGTTGACAAGTGACAACATACCACAATAGGAAATTAGCAAAATCTGCATCATTTGCATCTCGCATTGCAGCAAAGAAATCTTCACAGGTTACAGCTTGCCCATCGTGTCTCTTGAAATATAGATCCATGCCCTGAAATAGGAAAAAGAAGTGTTTGCAAGTTAAGGAAAAACAGCTCCCTCACATGTAAAATAAAGAATTAAATACGCTCTAGTTTAAACGCATTTTACTTTTCTGAATCCTTGGCTTCCCAATAAGGTCTTGTACATCCTGACAACTTCAGCTCCCTGATAGTAAGATACAAAAAATACACCAGTGATGACCAAACAATCATTGTTGTCCAGAGAGAGAGAGAGAGAGAGAGAGAGAGAGAGATTGATTCAAACCTTTTCATACACCTGTAAAAAAAATAGAAAAAATCAAGAACAAAAGAAACAACAGTTAGGTGCCTTCCAAAGAAACAGAAAAAAAGAGTGACAGAAAGAAAACTTGGTAAAACCCTACCGTCACTGCAAGTTGAAGCCAGTGAATGTCCCGGATTAGCCACCGCAACCAATAATACAACACAAAAGAGGGTCAAAATGTTCAAATATGCCAAGTCAATTGCAAATACAATTTCCATGTCCACAAAATAATTTATTTATAAATTAAATAACAACCACCCCTCCCTTGAGGACAAATACAGAAACTTGCCTGTGTAGAAGTTGTCCATCTGTCACAAGAGAGAAAAAAAAACATAGCAACATGAACACAATTTCTGAGCAAATAGTCAATAACTCTCCAGAGTAAGCTAAAATCTATCAAAGATGAGCAACTTAAGTAAAAAATTTCAGACCTTAATGTAAGAATGTGGCCGTACAGGATGAGCCATGGGACCAGCATCCTAGCAAACCAAGACAAATCTTAACACTTAATTGCAGCACAATAAGTCAAATCAATAATAAAAAAACAGCAACTTCAATTAGATGAATTGAGTATGATTCTTGACAAATTAACTCACTAGATTTTCCATATACATTATTAGAAGCCAAATGAACTAAGAAGCACAAACACAGTCACGATCAAAAACACGAACATGAACATAGACACGGACATTGCGGTTTCCAAACAATTAGGATACGGATACGGTGGAGATGAGGAAAAAAATTATATTTTTTCTATATTTATATCCGCAATGTAAATGAATATTACATCCACAAACAATTAAAAATATTTTTATGTGCTATGTATAGCATATCAGCTACTAATGTTACATAACAAAGACTAAAAGCATCACTAGAAGTTGTAGAAGGGGAGTGGAAATGCCTGTGGAAACTGATAATTTCGAAGCCTTGAAACATCAGCAATCCGCTTTACTGTACGACTCCCCAGGTCAGATGAAAATTCCTGCCCGAGGAATGCATTAGAGACTTGCAAGCTCAATCAAACAATAAATATTTTCAGCGTTTCAATGGTCAATTGGTAATTAATAATGTGCCCAGACCTGGTCACGGAATACAGTAAGACCTTCTTTAAGACTAAGCTGAAACCAGTCTCGACATGTCACTCTGCGGAAAAGAAAGAAAAAAAGAATAGAGTATCAACCAAAAGAGAAAGATCGCAAGAAAAAAAAAGGTTATACAAAAGAGTAACAAGATTTTAATAATTGAGATAGAGTAGCAATGTAAGCTAACCTGTTACCAGTCCAGTTGTGAAAATACTACAATATACACAAGAAATAAGACCCAAATTAATACAAAAAATAAAATAAATAAATAAATCTAAGTTTCTTGCTTCTTATGAGACAAATGACAAACCTCATGGCCAATAACTCCTAAAATTGCAGCATAATCTGCATCTGTAGCAGTTTCTGGAGATGCCAAAACAAGCTTGGAATTGAATATCTGTCAACAACCAAGTCAGACAAACTTCAATCAAATGAAATGTATGGTAGATGGAAATCAAGAGTCAAAAAAAATTTCACAAAGCATACATTCAAGCTCTTGTTTTCCATGGCTCCCCTGAAACCAATACATTAAATAATTAGTAATTTAAAAGGGGAAAATCACAAAGCACATCAAATATTAAGGAAAACGACATACGTGAGAAGCATTGAATATGTTGAGACTTACATGTTAAAATCTGGAACAGCAACAATATTAAAGAGATCCAGGTCATACTCAAGACCAAAAACCTGAATGCATACACAACATATATATATACATATATATGAGAAAGCATGCTTTAGAAACCACATCAAGGAGATAGATCAAAGTATGCATCCAAAGGATAGCTTCAGAGAGAGAGAGAGAGAGAGACTCACATCTTCATCCCATTTCATAGCCGCCTTAAGAGAATACATGGCATGTTCAGTCTTGGGTAGATCGTGTGCCGGGGTCCAAATCCTAAGAGACACCTTACGACCTGAACGAGTGGTAAAAGTATCATCTCTGCTCTCCAACTGTCCAGCAACTAAAGCAAAGAGATAGCAAGGTTTCTTGAAGGGATCCTCCCAAAGTGCATAATGTTTGCCACCCTGCAGTGAAACAAAAATTAAAAATGGATCTAAGAATATAACACTTAAACAACTGTTTTAATAAATAAATTCACCTCAAGGTCTCCTTGCTCTATGAGATTTCCATTAGACAACAACACAGGGTACAATGACTTATCAGCTTCAATGCGACAAGTGTATTTTGCCATAATATCAGGACGGTCCTGATAGTGCAAAAACAGAAGTCATTAGTGTATTACAAAACAAATTAACATCTCAGTTCTCACTTTATAATTATCTAGAATCTATCACTGGTCAAGTTATGAACCTGGTAGAATGTAATTCTCCTGAAACCCTCTGCCTCACATTGGGTACAGAAATTCCCAGATGACTTGTAAAGCCCCTACAGCAAGGAGTATGATTAGTTGGAAGGAGAGAGAAGCACCAGATGCAGAAGAGAAAAATTGTAAAAATAAGAAATGTTTGTTTCACCTCTAACGATGTGTTCTTTTGTGGGTGTATCTCAGAAATAATTTCCAATGTAAATTTGCCACTTGGCAGTGATGAGAGAGTCAGATGGCGTGAATCCAAGTGGAAATCTTCCTCCTGAAACATATCAAAGATTTGCAGTTAGACGATGCAAGGTTGTTTAAAAATGCAACCTTGTGAAATGTGAACCCAAAAAAGTTGCAAATACTTTGGTTAGTAGCTATGATATCCATGCACACACTCACATGTGCATGCCTTATTACAATGCATTAAGATCTAAGTAAAAATAAATAATAAAATGACAAGGCAATAAAAATAGAGTAAAAAAATCACCTATAAAAATTACCTCTGGTGATGATTCAAACAAACATTAACTTATAAAAAAAAAAACAATTCAGAACAAACAGTGGAGAGCAATGAGAAAACACCAATGTTGATGAATTAATGTGCCAGAGCAGTTGAAATGATAAAGCATAAACTTTAGCAAGAATCTTGTACATATTTCATACCTTCAGTTCTTTGCTATTGACCTTAACTGAAACCAGCTTCATATCATGCCCATCCAAGACTAGTGGAGAAGTACAACCTGTTCCTCAAGATAAGATCACAAGAAGAATCAATTCTGAAAGCTTATATCAAAGAAACATACAAGAATGGAACTTGACAAATAAATACATGAATGGAGACATTTAGTCTTTCTGCACAAAAAGGTGAAAACCAGTTGAAGTAAATCCAATAGTTTTGTGCTGTTAACAATAATAATACCCAGAAATTTAAAGAAACATACACTCCTTCACCAATTCGATTCCAGTTGCAATATTACCTTTGACTCTGGGGTAGACGGTTATTTTGGAACAGACAATTGTTTTCTCCTCGCCCAGTGAAAATTTCAAATCAACCTGAATATTCATAATTACAGAAGAAACCAAAATGTCACTATCAAAAGAATAACTGTTAATAATACATATTTGTATGTATTCAGATATGAACTTATTTTTTGATAAATAATTCATTAGTAAGTACATAGATACCGTATCAAAGTAGTAATCAGGCAACTTGTAATCTTTCAGAAAAATTTCTTTGGGCATGTCCATTTTGGATTCTTCAACTTGCTTTGGTAAGGGTTCTGTTGCAACTGAACAAATTAGCCTCCAAGTTGAATTGCCTGGCCTTCTATAAAAGGTTGAAATTCACATAATGAATAAAAGTGAGCATGAAAATTGACATAATGTGAATTTATGAGGGGAGTGATAAATTCAACAATAACAACTCACAGGTAATGAAGGGCAAGGAAACCGATAATTTTTCCGATGTGCAACCTAGTAACACAGACAAATTATTAAAATCTCTAATTGAAATTCCAAAGCTTGAAGTGACCAAAAGAAATGAACCAAGTACAGAAGCACCTGGAAATCCTGGATGTAAGAAGTTATTGTATGAAATGTGTACCAACCTCTAAGCTAAGGTAATGCCTATATCTGGAGAATTTTTTAGCAGGATTCCCAACAGAACTACCACAACAAGAGGCTTGAAACTGCAATAACACATCAGAAATGTGAGTTTTAACATGCAATGTTAGGATAGAAGACAATTTTCTATGAGCAAAGTCAAGGCAGATACGTAGTATACATCTAAATTTTCAGAAGATATATAAGATTCCCATGAAAGCTAAATTTGCATTACAAAGCAAAAAAAAGAGCCAAAAAAGAGGCAAAAAAAATCAACAAAAACCAATATATGCAGAAAAACAATAAGAAACCCAACTATCAACAGTCAAACTGAATGTATGCAGTACTTTCTCATTTACAAATAATGACTCACAAAAGATACAACCGGGCGGGGGGAATTAGAGCAGCAACAATAACAACAGAAGCAACAATGATTTGTGAACCTTTATGGAATCAAAGGAAAACTCAGAATATGACAAAAACATTTCAACCCTAGTAGGCAGGCAGCTATAATATTTCCAACATTTCATTTTCTTTCCTCTGCTTTCTCGAGAATCAATCAGAAAAAGAAAAAATGGAACTACACAAACAGTTACCAATAAGTAAGTGGGATTGGGTAATCACATGGCCAGAGGAGATCAAACCCAAGAGACATGTCTTCGGCAGACCCGAACCTTTGCACGGAAGAATAAACCGAGCCATCATCCAATACTACAAATCCTAAATAACCCTTTACAGTTTCATTAGTTCAGATATCAAAATTAGTACACACACTCAGAAGGGTCTAAATTTTGACCAAAACGAAAGCGACCCAGATGCTCAAAAATCCAAATATATGCACAAGAAGTACCAAAAAGCCCTAGATCAGAGAACCCACAAGAGCAAACAAGTAAAACCAGAGTAACGTTTGTGTTTTTATAAGGTTTATATAGATATGGATAATTCAAAGCATGGACAAGAAAATTCAAATAATAAAAAAATTAAAAAATCTATTTTTGAACTTTATTTATATGCAAAAAAAGAGGGATTGGTTATCGGGCATTACCTTTGTTTGAAGATCAGAAGATGAAAAAACAGAATGGAAACAGAGGATCTCTCCAAAACGTGAGACGAAGCGAAGAAAAGATACCCTACAAGAACTGAACAGAGAATTTGTGTAGTGATGGATTGGAGAAATAAAAATTAATAAATAAAAAGGTAAAATTTAAATTAGGTAAAAGTTTTCAAGGATAAAAAGTTGCAATTTGGCTCAGGTATGTAACTCTATGGATAAAGATTGGTAGCTCGAGGATTTCGCCCCGAATCCCCTAAAGCCCAAAACGATTTGGCTCAGATATGTAACTCTATGGATAAAGATTGGTAGCTCGAGGATTTCACCCCGAATCCCCTAAAGTCCAACACGATGTCGTTTTGGGCTTTAGGTTTTTTTTTTTTTTTCTTTTTTTTTCCGCCATTTTTGAACGCAGAGCAGAGGAAGAGGGAGAGAAAGAGAGGGAGAGAAAGAGCTCGTCGCCCAGCCGAGCTCGTCGCTCCGCCGGTCGTCGGCCCAGCCGAGCTCGTCGCGTCGCCTCCGCCCGCCTCCGCCTCCAGCCCATTTTTTAGGCCCCCTCCAGTCCTTCTTCCTCCTCCTCCTCCTCCTCCTCCTTCCTCCCCCGTCTTCTTCTTCCTTCTGCTGTCTTCTTCTTCCTTCTGCCAAAAAAAAAAAAAAAAAAAAAAAAAAAAAAAAAAACTTCCTATCATGTCATGAACTCAAGGGAGTATGGTTCTCAACGATATTTAGTTAAAAAATTATTAGAAATTTTCACATTATTTTCTTATTTTTTTATATATTTTTATAAAAAAAATTAAAAAATTATTAAAATAATTTATCCTCAAACGAAGCCTAAGGTTTAATTATAACCATTCAAAATATATTATTAGTCCAAAATGTATTATTGTGTGTTTTAAAAAATTCTTACCAACATATACTTTTAAAATTTGGAAAAAATTATTAGAAAGTCTCATTTCACAAACTGTTGCACCATATGGTCTTACATTTTTTCTATTAGATTGGCAAGTCTCGTTGCTGTGTTCTTTTAGTCAGCCAAGTCCCTTTTTTGAATTTTTTGGATTGGTTGGTGGACAAATTTGTCGTGAATGTCATGTTTGATAGTTCGAATCCCGTAATTACAGGGAGTGGGAAATCAGTAGGTGTTCTTCTGGAATATAAAGTTAGGTTTTGGCTATTGTTGAATGATACCAAGGGTTATCACAGATGTCACAACAGCCCACGGTGATTTGGTATGTCATACGTTTACATCCGATTTTAAGAAAATGATAGTCCAGTTGATATCCATCAGCATTTCAATTGTTTGTTCGTATGATTCATTTTCAAACAATGTTGTATTACTGTAGACACCCCATTTTTTACTACCCTTAAAGAGTTGGGTGCCTCAGTTTGATCACTGTAGACATGCCCCGAGGGCTTCATGCTACAGTTCGGACTCAAATTGTCACGATTCTGAATCTAGTCTCGCAAAGTGCAATGCAAGACCGATAAATCACCAAAAAGTCCAAATCCGGCAAATCGTTTTGGAAAACTGATTTTTTAGAAAGAAGTGCCAAACATGGACTGTTTTGCTAGATACAGAGTCGCCACCTAAATATTTTATTTTGGGGGGATTTAGGAAACCATGACTCGTGCCTAAGGCCACGTGTCCGTCATCACCAAAATTGTCTCGGCTCGGGAACTTGGGTACGATTGGAGAAGGTCAGCTATGAGCACCCTCGCTCGCCCAATCAAAGATCGGCCACTACTAAACATGATATCTTGTTTTTGAAAACACATATGCTCTTATTCCAGTTAATTAGCTAGAATTACTATGTGATGCGCACAGTAAAACAAGTATAGACTAAATCACCTAATTTGGAACAAAGCATCGTATATCCGTTTGTTTGGAAAATGGTTTGGAGTTTGCTGCTCGTAAGTAGGCTAAAATGCGGATTTCAATGAATTGTTCCAATTCAAGTAATCCAATCTTCACCCATAGGCATTCAGGCAGTTTATATCACATAAGCAATTAGTCTCATGGCAAGCATGCTAACATGGCAGCACTCACACACATGCAAGATGTTAAGGCATAAACACTTACAGTGTACTCCGAGCCAAAACAAGAAACTAGTTAGAAATCATGCATGATCCTAGTTCATGTTAAGATGGCTAATGCATCGCATGCAAAGTGCAACTAGAATAGGCTCGGCTAATCTAAAATGGCATATGAGATGCGACAATTCGATACATGTATTCATGTAGGAATTGAAATACAATGCAGTTAGTATGATGTGCCGAGCCCGGTGCATGCAATACTGATGAATGAATGTAAACATGCATAGCATAAGGATGCTAAATGAAACGTGCCCAAAAACTAACCACTGAAAGCAGGTAAGTAAAAGGGAGAAAGAAGTGGGGTTGGAAGACATGCATTACACACACGCACGCTTATTACAACAATTGCGCCCTCTCGACGGAGGGATCGAAAGAATAATACAAATTAACTAATTAACTAACTAACAAGCTAATTAATTAATTACACAACCAAATAAATAATTAGCTACAACTAATTATTACAACACTTAAATAATTAACAAATTAATTAAGCTACGAAAGAAGGTAAAGCAGCCTCGGGAAGAGGGATAAACGCATGCTCGATCGGCTTTGCTCAGAAATCCATCGCTATGCTTCATGTTGCCTCTGTTTGCACTACTCTGTACCTCTGAAAACTGTGCCAACTTCTGTGACACTTCTGAACGACCTTGGGGACATGCTGAGAGTCCACCGGCCAAGAGATAGGGCCATCGGCCAAGGGATAGTGGTCATCGACCATATGTAAGGCTCTCGGCCAACAATGCATAGCCGAGCGGCACTGAAGATAGCCGACCGACCATTTCTTCCTGCAGAATCCTGTTTTTGCTGCAACAGAGGACAGACAGAGCATGGCAATGCATTTTCAAGGCAATGTTTGCACCACCATCCTTCCTATCATGTCATGAACTCAATTCAACCCTCGGGCCACCAATCACGCATTTCAATGCATGATAGCCAATGAGCCAAGTGTGCATTTTAATGTCAAATGAAATGCACACAAAAACATATAAAGGACCCCAACCTCTATCATGGCTTATCAAGAGGCAAGGGATGTAAACATGCACGCAAAACTTGGGCAACATGAGCATGCTAATGATCCTACCTTACAAGGCTAAAGGTAACAAGCATGCCAAATGCAATGCAACCAAGACAAGCATGCAAACATGCAAGGCATGTGACAACATTTAAAGATAGGCAAGCATGTAACAACATGCGAGGCAAGCATGCAACAACATGCAAGGGACAATGCATGCAAACATGCAAAGCAACTTAACAAAAGGGCATGTCAAATGCAATACAACTTAAGTATGCAACAACATGCAATAGGCCAAGTATGTAACAACATGCAAGGCAAGCATGCAACAACATGCAAAGGATGGACTTAAACCACTATGGACAGCTCTCAAATAGGCCCAAATCAGTGGCCAAAGTGCAATGGAAATGAGGACAGATGCACATACAAACATGCATGCTAATTAGCCTAAAGACTAAGGCATAAAATGAAATGCGGATTTCAATGAATTGTTCCAATTCAAGTAATCCAATCTTCACCCATAGGCATTCAGGCAGTTTATATCACATAAACAATTAGTCTCATGGCAAGCATGCTAACATGGCAGCACTCACACACATGCAAGATGTTAAGGCATAAACACTTACAGTGTACTCCGAGCCAAAACAAGAAACTAGTTAGAAATCATGCATGATCCTAGTTCATGTTAAGATGGCTAATGCATCGCATGCAAAGTGCAACTAGAATAGGCTCGGCTAATCTAAAATGGCATATGAGATGCGACAATTCGATACATGTATTCATGTAGGAATTGAAATACAATGCAGTTAGTATGATGTGCCGAGCCCGGTGCATGCAATACTGATGAATGAATGTAAACATGCATAGCATAAGGATGCTAAATGAAACGTGCCCAAAAACTAACCACTGAAAGCAGGTAAGTAAAAGGGAGAAAGAAGTGGGGTTGGAAGACATGCATTACACACACGCACGCTTATTACAACAATTGCGCCCTCTCGACGGAGGGATCGAAAGAATAATACAAATTAACTAATTAACTAACTAACAAGCTAATTAATTAATTACACAACCAAATAAATAATTAGCTACAACTAATTATTACAACACTTAAATAATTAACAAATTAATTAAGCTACGAAAGCAGGTAAAGCAGCCTCGGGAAGAGGGATAAACGCATGCTCGATCGGCTTTGCTCGGAAATCCATCGCTATGCTTCATGTTGCCTCTGTTTGCACTACTTTGTACCTCTGAAAACTGTGCCAACTTCTGTGACACTTCTGAACGACCTTGGGGACATGCTGAGAGTCCACCGGCCAAGAGATAGGGCCATCGGCCAAGGGATAGTGGTCATCGACCATATGTAAGGCTCTCGGCCAACAATGCATAGCCGAGCGGCACTGAAGATAGCCGACCGACCATTTCTTCCTGCAGAATCCTGTTTTTGCTGCAACAGAGGACAGACAGAGCATGGCAATGCATTTTCAAGGCAATGTTTGCACCACCATCCTTCCTATCATGTCATGAACTCAATTCAACCCTCGGGCCACCAATCACGCATTTCAATGCATGATAGCCAATGAGCCAAGTGTGCATTTTAATGTCAAATGAAATGCACACACAACATATGAAGGACCCCATCATCTATCATGGTTTATCAAGAGGCAATGGATGTGAACATGCAAGCAAAACCAGTGCAACACGAGCATGTTAATGACAATGCCATACAAGGCTAAGCATGCCAAA